ATGTCTTCCCATAACATGACACTTTTTTCTACTACATAACCCGACCTATTAGCAAAATTTTCAGAGGGATAATGTTGCTAGCCTATTGTGTTGTGCTTTTTTTTTTTTTTTTTTTTTTTTTAAACAGTTTACAATTTGAGGATTGGAGGAAGGGGTTTTTTGAGGCATTTGTGGGGTTTGAAATTCTGACCAATTAATCCAAGCACCTTAAGGACCAATCACTTGGACCCAAAAACCCGATTTGTTGTCTAGTCTATTTTTGGTTTCATTATTCTTATAATTATTTACAACATTAATTTTAGGGATTGAAAAAACCTAAGATGAACTTGGCCCTTCGGGCTAAGTGGCTCGGGCCACGCTTACAAAGTTCATGTCCCTCTCCTCCTTTTTCAGGGCAACGGTTCGAACTGGTTTCATGACAAAATGTTCAAAAAAAAAAAAAAAAAAAAAAAAGGGAAGGAAAAAAGGAGTAGATTTTAGGGATAATAGTTGCAACTTGGTATAGACATCAGCTAGGAAAAATGCTTGGGCGCATCACAAGTGATGCTAACCAGGGGAAAATGCTTGGGGCCATCACAAATGATGCTGGAGGACTGCACATGGTAAAACCGTATCAATATCAGAAGCTGCCCCTGAAAGGATGGTTGTCTTGTAGGAATGAGTAAGCAAATAAGGTGACAGAAATAGCTAGGGAGAAATCTCTCTTTAATAAATTTGAATAAGGTTTCAGAGTAAGAAGGATCGTACATTGAACAGAATCCTAACGCAACTTCAGAAATTCAACATCAAGTCCATGGTACAAAGTTTATCTTAGGATTTAACATACATAAACCTTATCTGTTCCATAGTACAAGGTTTCCATAACCATACATCCAACAAACTGAAGTGGGCAACCCTTGCCAAATTTCCAGATCAAGATCGTCATCAAGGAGATTACCAGTATGATGCAAACCAATATAATCAGCAACCTGCGAACCTGTTTAGAGTAGAAACAAGACAAATTCTTTTATTAGATGCTAGCAGAACAGATTGATTTTTACAAAATTTTTCATGCTAACCGAACAGCCTCTAACGTGTGCACCACCTTCACTCATAAATGACATGAGAAGGAGAAGAAAGTAAGGGAATTGAAGATAAGGGGGGAAATGGAAGGTTTGATCCTATCATGCCTTGCTCTTTATGGCCATGCGTGCTGCCTCTTGCTTCCTGGCTTTTGCTTGCTCTAACTTGTTCATCTTTGCAAATATACTGCCATAAAATTGTGCATCCTTTTTGTTGTATTCCCTGACTTTCTCTTTCAGTAACTTATATTCTGCTCTTACATCCCTGATATCAACACATTATAACGTAAAACTTAGATTGGAATGCCGCAAAAATAATGAAACAGAAGATTGTATTACAGAAGCGAGCAAAACACTTGCCAAATAAAATCCTTGCATAGAAACATATAATCTTTCTTTCAATAATACCGCATGTCCAAAAGGAGAATGAACCTAATATATCAAAGCTTTGCAACACAAGTCTGGAAGACAATTCAAAATAGGGTAAATGAAGTTACCTGTTATCAGGGTCAATCTCAAGTGCCCTTTTTATATCAACCTCTGCCACTTCAAAATCAGCAAGGTGGATATATGCTTGCGCCCTCCTGTACAGGGCTTTAACATTTTTACTGTCAAGTTCTAAAACCTACATGTCAGACATGCCTGTCAGCACATGAGTGTAACTAAAATTACATTCCTCATAAACAATTCTGCAAGGTATTAACGAGCCAATACCTTGGTGCAAAGCTCCTCAGCCTGCTTGTAGTCTTTAAGTTTCAGTTTGCAAGCGGCATTGTTAAGATTGCAGGTTACTTTTAGCAACTTAGCCTGCTGCTTCTCCTCATCACTGAAAGTAGAGTCATAATCTATGAAGTTCACAGCCTGCAAACAGAAAGGCAAAATTGACCGAGCATTCAGATCAGAAGTCAAGTAGAAATACGTAACACAGAGAATTAATGAAAAGCCTATTGTACACAATCATACCTTCTCATATCTTTTCAAGGCTCTTTTATATTTACCAGTCTTGAACAAAACATTGCCTGCTTCTTTCTTTTCCCCTGCAGCTTCAATCTTTTCCTGGCTATTCAATTCCCAAGACTCTTTCTCCTGCAATCAATTATTTATGGATTAGATTATCTCCAGTGGAGTTATGAGCACAAACCCTGCAAACAGGGACCAAGGGAACAGAAAGGCAATGTGAATGCAGCATACTAACCTTGACAAATGAGACCATCTCAGCCTCATAATATACAGTTGAATTGGCAGGAACAACAGCCAATTCCTGCTGCGATTCAGTTGTACCGAATGCATATTCTGGCTGGATGGTGATAAGAGCAACTTCCCCTTTCTTCATTGATTTAACAGATCTGTCAAGTCCATCAATAACTTGCTCTGCACCGAAATTGCCATTTCCATGAGTAACTTAACTAAGCAAGGACAAACAGATATAAAACATGGCGTATCTAAATCCCAAAAAAACTGATAGACAGGGATGGGAAGGAGAAGTATACAAAAAAAAGAGCAAGTTGTGATCCAAAGAGAATTGTTACCTTCATCTATTTTAAACTCAAAGGGCTCTTCCTCATAACCCTTTTTCACAAAGATTGTCCCATCATGTAGCTTCCCGATGAGTTTAACTACACAGTAAGAAGAAGGTCCCAGTTTTATTAAGCAAACAGTTAAATCAGTCACAAATTGAAACTAAAATTGATGTTCCATGCCAAAAGTCACACCTTGCACCATAGTTCCATCACTGGGTCGGTCATAACCTTCCCCCTCCTTTAAGATCTTCTTTAGGACCTTCTTGTCCTTTGTAATATCAGAAATAGTCTTCCAAGAGACTAACTCAAGTGTTATCTGAAGAGTAGCATTTGGAGGAACAGCACCTGCATCACCTATTGCTGGCCTACCATTCTCACCAAATGCATCTGCAAGCAAATAATATTCAGAATTTCAAACAACGAAATTAATAGGCATTGTTAATAAAAAAAAAAGAGCTTAACTCACATTGGGGCATTACTGTCAACAGTACTTTCTCTCCTTTCTTCATGGTTTTCACTGCTTTTGCCAAGGCAGGGCAGAAATAGCCTGTATACAGAAAATCACTGCATTATATTCCAGCCTACATCATGAACTCAAGTTAAGAGAAGCATAAAAAGAGGTATAACACAAACCATCTCCAACAGTAAATTCCACCCCTTCAGATTTTGAAACCAGTGTTCCGTCTTCTAAGCAAGCTTCAAACTTAACTGCAATAAATACAATAAAGTATTGTGAGGCAAGAATGCACTCACTTTGATAGATTAACAACTGCTGTATGCGAAAGAAATAAGTTGATAACATACCAAACACTTCATCCAAATCTTCTGGGTTCTCCCATTTCTCCCCTTCAACTAGTATTTTCTTGAAGATCCCTCCATCTTTGCAGATGTCCTTGACACTAGTCCAAGAAAGCAACTCCACATCAAACTGAAGAGTTGCATTAGGAGGAATAGTTGGAGGCGATCCAGATTCACCATATGCCAATTCAGGAGGAATAGTAAAAATGGCATTTTCACCTTTCTTCATTGTTTTGATACCCTCATCCCAACCCTTTATTACTTGTCCTGCAATTTATGGAGAGCAAATAGAGTACTTAACATTGCCAATACTCTCCAAAATGAAACCCCTCAATCAAAATAAACTCTTTCCCCCATCATGTCCTTAAGGGACCTTAGAATGTAATGAATCCAGTAGGGTAATGTTCTATGCTATGTAGACCAATCTAATGAAGTTCAAGCTAAAACAATACTAAAAAAATCAGAATTTGGGACTTTCAAATTGACAGAAGCAGTGATTCCACATCTAACAGGAGAGTAAATTACCTCGGCCAAGCTTGAACTTGAAAGGAGTACCACTATCCCGGCTGGAATCGAACTTGGTTCCATCGAGCAAGGTGCCAGTGTAATGCACTGAGAAAGAATGAAAGAGAATTAACAGAAACCCATCAACAGACAGCCAAAATCAACCCAGAAAAGGGATCAAGACATGGAGGGAGCAACGAGACAACACCTTCTACTTCATCACCGGCGCTTGGAGTGTCCCATCCCTCACCCTCCTTGACCAGCTTCTTCTTCAGCCCATTCTTGCCAATCTCCTTTTCCTCGCCCACCTCAAGAATGGGGCTAATTGGGTCGTCCTGGGGCACGTCCATCTCGTCATCCTTGTTGCTGGCGGCGGGGAACTCGAAATCATCATCCATGGTGACCCAGGAGACAAGAAAAGAACAAATGCAATGCAGATTCCTTTATCTTGAATTACCCACGGAACGGGATGACTGGGTTTTATAGGGAACGTGGAACAAGAAAGTGTCTAGAAAGTTCTAAAATCTAACAGAGAGGATGGTTCCAGAATTCTACCATGGTTCCTGTTGGCTGATCAGGACTTGAGTGTTGGTCACCTTACATTTTCCTGTCTTTCTCCAATCCCCCAAACCCTGTACTTTTTTCTTATCAGCAAGAAGCACCCTACAGAATTATATATCCAAGATATCACACGTTTTACTTTCGTCAACCTTGACAACCCCCAAAATTCAAGTGAAAAATCCACCATGTGACAAATCACCTTAGCAATAGTGTTTTTTGTTTACCTGATTTGATGTTTAACATCAGTATATAAATTAATTTTAAATTGTATAAATAATAGTAGAAACTGGTTTTTTTTTATCAATTATAAATTGTTGGTAATTACTAAATCAAATGAAGATTAAATTAGATTTATGAAACTTTATTTTTAGATAAATAATGTAGGTTTTTTTTAATAAATTAAAATTATTTACGTGTATTAAATTAAGGAAGAAAAAAAATTCATGAAGTTCAATCTCGTCACTTATACATAAAAAATGAACGATTCTAACTCAAGATTCATGTAACTGTATTTGAGTGAATTGTTCATGATGTAACATTTTTTTAAAGGTATAGATTAAAAAAAGTTTTTAATGTACTTTGAAAATTAAGTTATATAAAAAAATAAATTTTGACTTTAATTTTAATAATAACTCATTAAATTAAATTACCTAACATCAATGTTAAAATTAATATTAATTTTTTATTTTTTATATAAAGTAATAATTACAAAATATGTTTTTTTATAACCATCTATGCATATTTCTTCATTTAAAAGATTTAAACTCAAAATTTTATTTTAAAATAACTAAAATCTCCTTTTTTTTTTTAGTTTTTCGCCCGGTATCCGGGGTTCCGTCCCGACTAATCCGGACTCGACCCGCGTCGCGCATCTGAAAATGGTGGGTGAGTCTCCCAGCGGGGCTGCTGCATACATAAAATTTCGAACTCGAAATCTTGCTTAAACTAGAACAAACCACTTACTACTTGATCCAACCCCTCGTTGGTCTGAAATCCTTTTACTTACGTCAATAAATAATTAGTAAAAAAAATGTTAATTATACTTTTAATTTAAATCCTTATACTACATATTAAAAAAATCCAATAATTTATAAAACTAGATAAATCTACATAAAAACTTGCATTAATTAGGATTGAAAACGACAAACTCAAAGTATTCCTTCTTTGATGTAATGTTATATTTGTTTCTCATTTTTATGATATTGATATCGAAACTCATCATCGTGAGAATTTTGAAGCATCTTGAAAAACTATTAGCGAAATTTTTGTTTTTATGGTATACTTTGCAGTTTAAACTTTGGGCCACTCTAAATAAAAACCTACAGTTACCAGAATTAAAATCTTTAATAACCACCCTAAAATCATAGAATAGAAGATATTAAATGAAAGAGAATGTTAAAATGATGATTTTATAAGAGATGTTATCAAATTTAATAAAATTCATTTGAAATAAGAGGAAACTCATAACGATTATATCAAACAATGGATTATGTCAAATGAATTTATTAGTAAATATTATTTTATAAATTAAATTTAAAATATAAAATTTGAAATTAATACTTAAATTCTTTGAATGCATTAGGTAAAGAGATATACTCATAAAATTATAAATAATGATAAATGAGACTAAAATTAAAATTTAAAATTAATGATATGACATAAAATATATTATTTAAAATATTAAAA